TGTTTAGTGTTTGCCTGAGGGAATACCCTGCACGTGTTTAACTTACCACAATCTGGAATTTCTCATTCATTCCTCTGATGATAGACGTTTGGGTTCTTTCTACTTTTTGGCTATAAAACTGCTACAAACATGCTTTCCAAATTTTTGGAAGCCATGTTTCCCTTTCTCTTGGATAAACATCTAGGAGAGGAATTCTGGGTTGAAGGGTAGGTTTAACGGTCTGGAAGACTGCCAAACCTTCTTCCAGTGGTGGTGTGAGAGTTACCGCTTTACATCCCCACCAGTGTGAGAGTGACCGTTTCTCCGTGTGCTCTCAACACTGGTTGTTGTCAGATATTATTTTAGCCATTGTAGTGAGTCTTTAGTGGCATGTCATTGTAGTTTAATTTGCATTTCCCTAGTGACTAACAATGTTGAGCACAATTTCATGTACTTTTGGGGCCTCTGTATATCTTTTTGAAGTGCCTATTCAAATCTTTTGCCCATAAAGTTGTCTTCCTAGTATTGAGTTGTAGGAACTTTCTATATATTGTGGATAAAAGTCCTTTGTCAGATACATGTTTTGCAGATATTTTCTCCCAGACTACAGCTTACCAATTTTTGTTATTAATGAAAACTTTTAATAAGCAGAAGTTTTAACTTTTGATGAAATCTAATTTATCATTTTTTTTCTGTTATGTTTATTACTTTCTGCACCCCTTCTAAGAAACCTTTGCCTGTTTTCTCTCAGTAGTTTTATAGCTTTAGCTTTTATGTGTAAGTCTGTGATCTAACTTACAAATCATTTTTATACATGGTGTGAGGTAGAGATTGAGGTTAATTTGTTCTTTTCTTCCCATACAGATAAATCATTTGTTTAAGTGACTTTCCTTTCTCTGTTGAATTGTCTTGGCACCTTTGTCAGAAATCATTGAGGAGAAAAAGAGCTGGGGCTTCACTAGGAAAAGAAAATCATTGACAACACAAGTATGGGTTATATTGGTTATATATTGCTGGATTTAATTTATTAATTTCTTGTTATGATTTTGCATATGTGTTCATAAGGGATGTTGGTCTAAATACTTGTGATATCTTTATCAAGTATTAGTGTCAGCGTTTTGCTGACCTCATGAAATGAGTTGTGAAGTATTCCTTGCTCTATTTTCTGGTGGAATTTGTGTGTTAATTCCTTCTTCAGTGTTTGATAGCATTCACCAGTGAAACTGTGCCTCGAGTTTTCTTTGTAGGAAGGTTTTCAATAATGTATTCAATTTCCTTGTTAGATGTAGACATTCATGGTTTCCATTTCACCTGGTGTCAGTTTTAGTGTGTTGTATTTTTCAAAAAAGGGTTCATTAGATCTAAATTGTTTAATGTATTGGCTAGAGTTGTTCATAATAGTTTCTTATTATCGTTTTGATTTCTGTAAGATTTGTAGTGGTATATCTCATTTCATTCCTGAAATCGGCTATTTGTGGTTTTTTTCTTTTCTCTTTCATTCTTATCAGTTTTTTTTTTTTAATGGAGGGGGTTGTCAATCTTTTCTGTTTTTTTCTAGGATTTTTCTAAGAGCAGTTTTAGATTCAAGCAAAATTGAAAGGAAGGTACAGAAATTTCCCGAATACCCTCTGCCTTTGCACATGCGTAGCCTCCTCCAATATCAACATCCCCCACCAGAAGGTACATTTGTTACAACTGATAAACCTACATAACAGATCATTATCACCCAGAGTCCAGTTTTTACGTTAGGGTTCATTCTTGCTGCTGTACTTTCTATGGGTTTGGACAAATGTAGAGTATCATGCAGGGTATTTTCACTACCCTAAAAATCCTCTGTGCTCCTATCCGTTCCTCCTTCTCCCTGACTCCTGGCAACCAAAGATCTTTCTACTGTCTCCGTAGTTGTTCCTTTTCCAGAATGCCATATAGCTGAAGTCGTACAGTATGAATGCATTTACTTTCAGTTAGTACAGTTGACCCTTGAACAACACAGGTTTGAAGCACACGAGTCCGCTTACCTGTGGATTTTTTTTCAATAAATACATACTACGGTACTGCGTGGTCTGTGGTTTGTTGAATCCAAAGATGCAGAGCTGTGGATACAGAGGGCCAACTGTGAAGTTATACTCAGATTTTTGACTGCATGTGGAGTGGCCTTAACCCGAGTTGTTCAATGGCCAAATGTAATATGTATTTGCTGTTTCCTCCATGTCTCTTCATGGCTTGGTAGCTCATTTCCTTTTGGAAGAAATTTCAGTTTTGAAGAAATTTTGGTTTTGTTTATTTTCTCCATCATTTGGAGAGGTTTAGTTTTTTTTCATTAATTTTTACTTTATTGTTTCCTTCATTTTACTTAGTTTAAGTTTAATTTGCTTGTCTTTTTAGAGCATCCTAAAGTTGAACACTTAATGATTAATTTTGAGCCTTTTTTAAAAATAGAAGTTTATAAAGCTAAACATTTCCCTCCAAGCACTGCTTTAGATGCATCTCACAAATTTTGATATGTGATGTCTTCATTATCATTTAGTTTAAAATATTTTCTAATTTCTCTTTATTCTTTGATCTGTGGGTTATTTTGGAAGTGTATTTTAAATTTTCTAAATATTTTGGCATTTTTCTAGGTATTCTACTGATCTCTAATTTATTCCATTATGGTCAAAGCACATACCTGCTCTATATAATTTTGTTATTTTGAAATGTATAAGACTGACTTTAGGCTCAAATATGACCCATCGTGGTGAATATAGTCCATGTACATTTGAAAAGAATGTGCAGGTTTTGGTGGTTGTGTTCTAGAAATAGTAGTTAGATCAATGTGATTGATAGTGTCAGATATTCTGGATCTTCACTGACATTTTTGTTTAATTTCTATCAAAATTACTGAGAGAAGGGTATTTAAAATCTCTAACTATAATTATATATTTATTGATTTCTTCCTTTAGTTCTGTTTTGAAGCTGTATTATTACTAGGTGCATCTATAATGATTATGTCATCCTGATAAATTGGTCATTTTATCATGGTGAAATGTCCCTCATTATCTCAAGCTATCTTCAAGGTGATGTTCCTGCCTTGAAGTCTATTTTTCTGATCCTTATACCCACTCCAGCTTTCTTAAGATTGGTGTCTGCGTGGTATGTCTTTTTCCACCCTATTACTTTCCACCTGTGTGTGCCTTTATATTTAAAGAGGCTTTCTTTTAGGCAGCATATAATGGACTCTCGTTTTTTATCCAGATTGACTATTTCTGCCTTTTCATTCAAATGTTTACTCTATTTAAATTTATTGTAATTATTAATATGTCTGGATTTAGAAAAGCCATGTTGCCTTTTGTTTCATCTGTTTTTTCTTCTTCATTTCCTGCCTTCTTTGGGGATAATCAGTTATGTTTGGTATTCCATTTTATTCCTCTATTAGTTCCTTAGCTGTATCGTTTTATATTTTTGAAGAGGTTACCATAGGGATTACAATATGCATCTCTATCACAAACTGGATGGAGGTAATATTTTCCTATATCATGTAAAATACCTTGCATGAGCCATTTACCCGCCCATTCCTTTGTGCTGCCACTCTTACACAGATTACATCTACATGTGTTACAGATCCCATAAGAGACTTACAAATTTTTTAAATAGATACAGATATTTTAAAGAAATTAAGAGAAGGAAAGAAAACAGTAGAGTCTTTTGTAATTGCCCACATATTTATCACTTCAAGTGATCTTTATCTCTTCTTGTAGCTCCGAGTTTACCATCTGGTGTTATTTCCCTTCATCCTGAAGAACTACTTTTTGCTTGTCTTATAGCGTAGGCAGCAAAATTTCTCAAGTTTTGTTTAGCATAAAATGTCTTTCTTTCACCTTTTAACAATAGCTTTGCTGGATACAGAATTCTGGGTTGACAGTTTTTTTTTTTCCGCCAACACGTTAAAGATGTCATTCTATTGTCTTCTAGTCACCATTGTTACTGATGAGAAGTTGGCTGTCATCCAAGCTGTTGTTTCCTTGAATATAGTGTGAATTTTTCTCTAGTTGCTTTAAAGATTTTATTTTATTTATTTTTTTATTTTAACAGTTTCACTATGACACATTTAAGTTGATTTTCTTTGTATTTATCTTTCTTGGGGTTTGTTGAGCTTCTGGGACCTGTAAGTTGATGTCTCTCACCAAATTTAAGAGATGTTTGGCCATTCTTCAAATATGTCTTTTTTCCTCTCCCATTCTCTCCTTTTTTTCTGGGACTTGCAGTATGTTAAACTGCATGTTCTGTTCATTTTCCTTCATATTTCCCCCTCAGTTCTTCAGATTGGATTCTCCTGATCTCTCCTCAGGTTCACTCTTCCTTCTGCCATCTCTAATCAGCTGTTAAGCATATCCAGTGAAGTTTCCATTTTAGTTTCTATGCTTTTCAGCTCCAAAATTTCTGCCTGGCTCTTTTTAAAAGTTTCTCTTCCTCCACTGAGATTCCCATACATTCATTCATGGTGCATACAACTTCATTTAAGTTCTTGAGCATATTTTCAGTAGCTGCTTTATCTGCATCACCAGGATCATCTTGGTTGGGTTGTAACTGTCTCCTTTGTTGTTCTTCTTGAGTATGAATCACAATTTCCTATTTCTTGTCATAGTTCTTGTGTTATTGGGTTCTGAACATCGTGAATGATATGTTGTAGAATCTCTGGATTCCACTATCTTCTCCTGATGGTATTTAACTTGGCATGACTCAAACTCTGTCCCTCCTGCAGGGAGTAGCAGCTGAAATCTCCTCATAGTTTTTTCATCTTCTAATTACTGGTTTTTCTCCAAGACCCCCATGTCTCCCTCACATGTGTGGTTTCTAGTCAGTTGGCTAAAGATTTGGGTGGACTCTGTGGTCAGATTTGGGGGTTCACTCTCTCTGTGGCTCTTCTTCCGGGATTCCCCGCAACATTGTGAACTCTTGCTTTTCAAACTTTAAGACAACCATGCTGCAGCTTTCTGCCACCCAAGCACTTGTGGATTGGGGTGTGCCTCCGAGCAAAAAGCCACAGAGTCACCAACCCGTCTGACTTTTGACAGCAGCCTTTCCCTGGTGGGCTCCCCAGCAGTGTCTCCCTGGTTTGATCACCCTCCATGGTCTTTAAATAGTTGCTTTTTTTAATTCTTAAAATGTAGTTGATTTACAATGTTGTGTTAGTTTCTGGTGTACAGCCTAGTCATTCAGTTATACATATATAAATATTCTTTTTTGTATTATTTTTTATTATAGGTTATCAAAAGTTATTGAATATATTTCCCTGAAATAGTTGCTTTTAAAAAATACTTTGCCCAGATTTTTTGCTGTTATCTGAATGAGGGTTAGTCCAACCAGTTTGCTGCGTCATTACTAAAAACCAGGGCTCTTTTGCATGCCTTTTAAAAAACCTTAAAAATATCTAAACTTTGACGAGCTGAGAACCCTTGATTAATGGACCCAAAGAAAACATTTTCAGGAAACTGGATCAGCTTATGTGTAACCTACAACCTTGAATACCTTAGGTGGGTGAGGAAGGAGTCCATGCTCTCTTTGGATAGGCGTGTTGTGTGTTCATGTATCAGAGCAGCCAGGCTCTGGCCCACATGACATCTGTCCGTCTGTCTGTCTGTCTGATCCTAACATCAAGGATGCATTCGGGGAGAGCAGAGCAGTCAGAGAGTCCTAGGTCCCCCTGAAATAACCAGGTCAGTTGTTAAATTTTCTGAAACTTTATGAACCTATTTATAGCTCCCAACTGTACTGCCTCTTGAAATCATAATTCTGTGTATTATTATCTGTTTCATAAAGTGCTGTGGTAGACTCACTATCTGAAACGCTCTATATAAATGTTCGCACTTCAGTGTCAGAGGTAATACTCAGGCGTCACTGAAGTCTTCATTCATTTGAGAAATGTGTGTCAGCTGCCAGAGTCGTGCCTGGCGTGGAAGCAGGACACCAAAACCTCTCACAGGATGAGAGAGGGGCCCTGGGGAGTTTCCTGGGGCTGCCATTCAAAGCACCACGGAATGTGTGGCTGGAAACAACAAAAATGTATCCTCTCATGGTTCTGGAGAGGAGTGTGTCGACAGGGCTGTGACCCCTCCGGGGAGGGGCCTTCCTGCCTCTTCCAAAGCTGGTGGCCCTGCCATCCTTGGCCTTGCATTGTAGCTACATGCCTCAGTCCCTGCCTCCATCATCACAGAACCTTCTTTCCTCTGTGTGTCCTTTTCTGTCTATTACAAGAACACTGTCACTGGATTTAGGGCACCCTAACCCAGTATGATCTCACCCCAGTCCTTTCCTTGATTCCGTCTGCAAAGACACTATTTCCAAATAAGGTCACATTCTGAGATTCCGGGTGGACGTGAATTTGGGGGGGCACACTCTTCAACCCACTAAGTTCCCCAAAGTAACCTGTCCATTGTATTCGAACTCCCATCTTCAGGTTTAAGGGCTGCACCTGGCTTCTGGGGCTCCCAGATTTGAGGAATCAGTTTTATTCATGACCTCACATAAGCTCCGGGAGCACCACTGTTGTCATTTCAGACCAGCATCTGATTACTTCCATTTGTCTTTAAAGGTCAGCCCCTCCATCCTCCTAACAATTTGAGTCACTCTCCGGGGCCCCCTATAGTCCTGTCATGTTGGTGACATGTGGCCAAAAAGAACCATGCACTGGACCAAGAGCGTGTGGGCCTCAAGACTTTGAATCCAGACAGTCTAATTTTTCCACCCACCTTCCAAAACCACATCACTTTATCAAACCCAAATTACATGGACCAGCAGCCAGCAACTGTGGCCCATGAGCCAAACCTGGCCCATCGCCTGTTTTTATAAATAAAGTTTTATTAGAACACAGCCAGGATCATTCATTTATATGTTAGCCATGGCTGTTCTTGTGCTATGATGTTAGAGCCTAGTGGTTGTAACAGAGACCATGTGGCTCCAGAGGTCTCTGATCCTTTACAGAAAAAGTTTGCTGACTCGGGTCTGAACAACGTACGCTGAGCAGTGTGAGCGACGGACAGTGCATTGTCAGGGGTGTGTTAGACTGGGGAACACGCTCACCTGAAAACGCTGCTTGATCTTAAATAACTTGCATACTGGAAGGTGTGTTCTGGCCACAGGAAGCAGAGCGTGGGCCCCTGTCTATCCCAACACTCTCACAGGCTCTCCTTGTTTCAATAAGACTTCAGCTGTGGAGCACAATCATTGCAGCTGGTGGAACAAGGAACCGGTCTCAGTGAGTTCTAGTCCCTTTCCTCGTGGTGCCACTGAAGTTACCTACTTCCTGGCTTCAGATGGAAACACAGTGGTGTATAGTGTGCAAATGCCTGGTGTAAACAGTCAGAAAAAACTGAAAATAAGAGACCTCAATTAAACAAATTCCAACAGAATAATTCCAAAGGTCAATTCGATCAGGAAGACAGAGAAAGCTGGAGCCCCAGGAAACAGAAGATTGGAAGTTCACAAGCTCCTCCTCTGAAACAGGCAGAGAAAGTAGGAGGCACCTGTCACTGCGTGGCTCTGGGGACATCTGGTGGTGAGAACTGAGTCAAGGTCATGGGAAACAGAATAATGCGCCAGACACGGACGTGGTCCATCCAGTGGCTCTCGTGGCCCCAAAGGCATCTGGGAGGGGGAAGGGGGAGTCGGGGAATAGTCAGTAAACACAGGATTAAGCCAACACTCTCAGATTCAAACACACACACACACCCCTTTCTGCTTCCTTTAGGCAAATTATTTTAATCTATTATCAGTTTTTCTTTGCATTTTTTTTAAAAAGGCTTTTTTAAAAATTCTCCACTCCTTATTGGAGGGGCAGCGTGTCCCAGGCACCATGGTGTGTGCCACACTGTCCAGGCTTCCCCCAGGAGTCAGTAGCCCCGGGACTCTACGCGTTGGGCGAATGTGCTCAGAGATGGGGCCAGGACAGGACAGGGATGGGGACAGGGGTGTGTGACCATAAAGCCACCTCCTCTCTCTGCCGTTTGTGGATTGAGCGGCTTCTCAAAACCTTAAAGGTAGCCAGCATTTATTTCAGATGAAAGAAGTCTGACTGTTGGCATTTTCCTGGAATGAGTTTGTATCCCCGGCCACTTCATGCTCAGGTTAAGTGAGTCTTTCCATAGAGAATTTTGAAGCTGCCTGTTTGGAAAATGTATGCACCCAGCTGCAAAAAAAAAAAATACACTTTTGTGCTTTCTCTTGGGCGAAGGGCTCTAGAAACAGAAGGCACTTTACCTTACTGCTCAAGACCCCGCAGTGCCCGGACAGCCCCACAGAGAATGCCCAGCCCTGAGGCCAGCGGTGCCGGGGGGAGGCCCTGCCCGCAGAGGAGGTGCTTACAGTTTGGGGGGTGGTGGCTCTGCAGATGGCAAGCATCCTTCAGGAGCTTTTGATTTTCTGGATAAGTGAGTTTAAAAATTGTATGAGCCCTTGAATATAGTTAAGCCTGATCAGATAGGAAAGGGAGAAGCTGTTATCCTGGCTTGTTACGCAGAAACTCCTGCGGGGCTCTTTTGGGGTTTATATTTGGAAAACCTTCCCTGCCCCTCTCCCAGCTCTCCCCACTGTGGAACGACTGTGCAGTGTCTCTCCCAGTCTGGCCAGGGTCCCTGCATTTGAACTTGGAAGGCTGTGGGTAATGATTGCTCGTGCATCTTGTACGTGTCCAAAGCTGCCTCCCTGGGCTTGGTGATTGCAGCCCCACGCCACTCACTCTCTCCCTGCCTCTCTCTAGACCTGAGCATGCAGAATTCAGAGGGCGGATCTGACTCACCGGCTTCTGTGGCTCTGTGTCCGTCGGCGGCTGCCCAGACGCCCGTGGCCCAGCCGGTGCCAGCCTCCCCGCAGGTAACAGACCAGCCCGCTGGCCACCCGGGCTGCTCCGGGAACAACGGCGCAACCATGTGGATGCGTCCACTTTGGTTTTGAAAAACACTGGAATAAGCAGAGTGAGGAATCTCTGTTCTTCTGACTTGACTTCTCAGCTCCACGCCTGCAGCTGTTGAAATAGCCACACCCTCGTCTGCCCGCCTTGTACCCCGTTAATTTGGCTTTTTCCCTGTTTGTTTAAAAGGTCTCACCAAGGACAAACTCAAAAGGAAAGAACTCCCCAACTCTGACTTAGTTCATTCTTATTTGCTAGTAGAAATTTTCTTGTACTTTGGAAATGACCCTTTTAGGCAGAGAGACTTTCTATCCATAAGGCAAAAGAGAAGTTAGAATTCTTAGGATGTGGTTGAAAACCGAATCTAGCATTAGAATCAAAATTTGCAGAGAGAATTTTCACATTCAGCCTCTCCCAACTTCTTGATTTCTATAGTGGATTGAAATACACCATAAAGTAGATGTGAACATAAAGTTATTGACAAGACTACATGAAATTGATAGTCACAGAACAGACTGGAAATCATAGGTGTGTGCAGAGGTCCACTGTGGTCACATGATCAGCTAAGATTTATGAATCTGAAAGTTAGGAACGTGAAAGAAAGAATTGATTATGGTAGGAAAAAAACCAAAATTCAGCAAAAGCAGAAAGGCAGACATTGAAGCAGTTTATTCAATTTAGAATGAATAGTTGGACATGTTTTGTGCTTATTTCCTGGAAGCATGGACGCCCCAGCGGGGGTGCCAGGAGGGCGTTACCACTTGCGGTTGTGGCCTAGTTGATTGTTTCCGTGCCCACCGAGACTGGTGCACCAGCGCTCCACTTTGAGCTCCCCCGGGTCCTTCTCGCAGAGCCCCAGTCTCTGGCACCCCGGGACCAGGGTGGCCACTGTTTTCCCTGCAGTCTGACTGGTCCCAGGTCCTGCCATGGCCGCTATGCCCATCTGGGCTCCTGGGATCCGTCCCTACTGGAGATGGATCCAGTCCCCCACCCCAGCCTTGGTGGCTGTGTCCCCCACCCACCTGCCCCCCCGTCCAAGCACTCTCACCCACAGGCTGCCCCGAGTTCCCTGACCAGTGAGCACCCAGTTTCTTACCACAAAGGGGCATTCTTGCCCCCTCTGTCCCCGTGACAGGCTCTTCCTGCTTCAGCTCTCAGCCCTGCGCCATCCACCAGGCTCTGAGCACTGGCACCGTGGCCAGTGCAGCTGAGGCACTGAATTCCACAATTTACTTAAATCGAACTAAATTTCAGTGGCCACACAGCCACACAGCTAGTAGCTCCCATACTGGACAGCTCCGCCGGAGGGCGTGTGCGTGTGAATCCTTACTATTCTTATTTGTTTATTTGAGGTGAAATTTACATGATGCAACATTCTCCATTTTAAAGTGAATTCCGTGGCACTGAAGACACTCATAATGTTTTACAGCCTCCACCTCCATCTGGTTCCAGAACGTTTTCACCCCCAAAAGAAACCCTGCACCCCGTTAGCGGCCACTCCCCACCCCTGTCCCCCAGCCCCTGACAGGCACAGATCCACTGTCTGTGTCTGCGGACTGGCCTGTTCTGGACGTTTCACATCCATGGAGTCACACACTGTGTGTCCTTCTGTGTCTGCTTCTCTCCCTGAGCATCGTGTTCTCAGGGTCCGTCCACCTGGAAGCAGGTGTCAGTGCTTCACTCCTGTCTCTGGCTGAGTGATGTTCTGGTGTGTGGAGGGACCACACTGTGCTCATCCATCCATCCTGCTGATCCCTGTACCATCTGTGTTCTCTTTGTCTTTGGTGGTGAGCTCCTGGGGGCTGGGTCCCTGCTGACTTCTCTTAGAACAGTGGTGTTTATTAGGCAAAGCCCTGCAGAATCACCATGATCAGGGAGATTTAGGGTCCACGCTGGACAATCACAGAGTCACAGTCGATGACTTCTGAAGCCCCAGCTTTACAGAAACAAAACATTCCTAACCTCCCTCACCTCTGGAGGACATTTGCATCCTTCACATTTTCTTAGCTTTGTGTGTCCAACCAGTCCTCTGGGCACAATGACAAAGCCCCACTGTGAGGACGACACAGGGGCCCAGAGAGCAGCCACGGAGACCCCGGAGTTGGCCTGGGCTGAGTCTGGTTCTAGAACTCACGATGCTGAGGCCATGAGACCTCAACCTGGCCTTGACCCCTCTGGGCTTCTCATGTGTCAGGTAGGGATGGGTCCTGTGTGTACTGAGAAGCTGTGGTGTGTGACCCAGTGCTCATCCAGGGGGGGAGTTATGGACAGACGGCCAGAAGGCTCTCCTCAGTCCCCAGCTCTCAGCCCACGTCACCTTGCTGACCACAGACCCTAAGGAGGCAAAGGCGCTGGGGGCGGGTGGAGGCCCGTGTGGCGCGTTTGCACGTGTGTGTTCGTGCACGTGTGTGCGTCCCTGCTGCATCCACCTGAGTGCGTGCGACCGTGTGCTCTCCTCTCCTCCCCTTCCTATCCTGCTCCTGTTCCCATAAAGCCACAGTGGAACCGGGCGGTCACTCTGGCTGTAACCTGTGTTTGTTTGCAGGACTCGCCTCTGACAAGCCTAAATGTCCTCTCTCCTTCCCTTTTAGAGGGTGTTGGTCCAGGCAGCGGGCTCGGCTCCCAAAGGGGCCCAGATGCAGCCAATCTCCCTCCCCAGAGTCCAGCAGGTGCCACAGCAGGTAACCACAGCGCAGGTGGCGCGGGATGCGGTTGGCACTCGTGCTCGGGAGCCCTCTCAGAACCGTGATGCATGCTTTTCTGTTGCTGCTCTCCCTTTCTGTTTGATGTCTTCAGTTCCTTACCAGAAAGTTCGTTTGGAAGCCATGTTAAAACCAAACAAAAATCTTTTGCTGCAGATAGTTTGCGACAAGCCAAGAAAGCTGATGATCTTTCATTCATTCAGATATGCAGCCTTTGGGGCGCAAGCGAGCCCCTAGGTAGAGCGCGGGGTGCTGCGGTAGACACACAGGCAGATAGCGGAGGTTTCTGGATTGGAGGAGCATGGAGCCTCCGGGGGAGGCAAACCCATCCGCAGGCAAGTGCTGGACCCTCAGACGGGCGCGTCTTGTGAAATTCATTATTTGAGAACAAAGCTGGACCGCGCGGTAGCAGCATAGATCATCAGCTCAGACGGTCAGCGTGATCGGGGCAGCCGTCGGCAAACCTTTTCCAGGGAAGGACTAACTGTACAATTTTTTTGGCTTTGCATGCCAGATGGTCCCTGGCACAACCACACAACACTCGCCAAAGTCATAAAGGAAGGGCATGGCTGTGTGCCAATAAAACTTTATTTATAAGAACGGGTGGGCCAGGTTTGGCCCGAGGGCTGGGGTTTGCCGACTCCTGCTCTGTAAGATGCTGAGTTAAAATCAGCTCCTGCCTGAAAATAACCCTGAACATAAGATGGAGATGGCAGGACCTGGACACGCCTCTCTCTTCGAAGGGGCTCCTGCTCAATTTAGTAGCCTGTTAAGAGATGTGTGTCTGAGGCCATGTGGTTTCCGGGAAGGCTCTGGGCCGGCTGGCAGGGAACCAGCGGCGCTGCCTTAGCTCCTCAAGGGAGGGGCGACCACAGCTTCTGATTCCAGAAGCTTCCCCCATCTGTGGGGCTGGGCCTGTCCCAGCTGTTTCTCTCTGGGCAGCTCAGACTTCGGGGCTGACTTCTGGACTTTACCCAGCCCCCCCCACCACACCTGCCCAGCACGTGCACCCCGGTGCCTTCCCCGGCAGGCAGTCCTCCCAGGGCTGGGTGTGTGCACGTCCGCGTGCTGGGTTGCCGGCAGGGTGGGGTTCGGCCCTGTCCCGCTGCTGCACACAAAGTCCTGTAGGGAGAACACAGAGAGACCGACTCTGGCTCCCCTCACCCAAAGCGGGGTTGAATTAGGCATCCGCAAGCCTCCCTCTGCCGTGAGACGCTGAGGTTCTGCACACGCAGCCCTGGGCCTCCACCCCAGGGCCAGCGTCCCTTGGGGGTCCTCAACCAAGGCTCTGAACTGAAGATGAGGGAGGGATGAGGCCAGAGGTGCTGGGATCTCCCCTTTTGCCCCCTCCCCATCTCCCATTCCCACTCCGGGCACATCGCTCCTGCCAATTCTGCTCAGAATTTCACTGTCTCTCCAGCATGGCTCCCAGGACCCTCGCCCCACTGCTGGGAAGGGGCACCAGGGCCACGGCAGGGAGCAACAGGGGGCGGTAGAGAGTGTGACCACCTGCCCTGCCAGTGACATGGGGGGATCCGATGCTCCGAGGTCCCCATTCTGTCCACACCTCTGGCTTCCGCTATCCAGCGGGACCGGCCTCTCTGCCCGTGGCCAGCAGACAGCAGGCATCCTCCCCGCACGTCACGGGGGCCCCGACCTGCCTCCCCCCTGCCCCGCAGTAGAGACAGGCAGCTCCCAGCAAGCGCAGCAGAGCCCCCGGGGCTGCCGGGAACACGTGCCTTGACGAGACCATCTCTGTACTCCTTCCGGAAGTGCTGGCCACGGGCAGGAAGCCTGTAGTGGGGTACTTACTCAGTGCTCATGAAAGGCAGTAAGAGGTCTTTGTGCCCGAATGATCTGGAAACGTGGACAAGGAGACTGTGTAACGCCAGGTATCCACTGTTGTTTCAGGTGCAGCCCGTGCAGCACGTGTACCCCCCCCAGGTGCAGTACGTGGAGGGGGGCGACGCCGTCTACACCAACGGAGCCTTGTACGTGCGTGTCCTCCTCCCTGCAAGGGGCCTCGCAGGGAACCAGCCATGGGCCACGTCCCACCGTTTTCCTCCACGCTCACGTGGCCCATGGGGGACGTGTCAGCACAAAGTCCTCTCCCTTACCCCTCGGGTGACAAGTCCCAACTGTTACGGCAGTATCAGCCCAGTGGAGATTTCAGAAATCACAGGCCTTTGTAGTTTTACTTCTAGAAAAGGCAGTCTTAAAAAAAAAAGGAGGGAGGGAAATAACTCAGCGGTAGAGCATGTGCTCAGCACACATGCAGTCGTGCTGGGTTCAATCCCCAGTACCTCCATTAAAAAGGCAATCCAACTTACGCGTCTGAAGACTCCACCTCCACGACCCAGGAGCCGTTTCTGGAGCTCTGTGTTATCCTCCTGGCCCCTGTTAACCTCTGGCTTTGTGTGATGCTGGTAAAGCTGGATTTTCCACTTGTCAAGGCGTCTAGGGGTATCTGCTTTTGGACCCTGTGATGCTCGGGGCAGAAAACGATGCGATTCCCAGAAGCTGACTGTGCGCTCGAGACGCGCGTCCTCTTGCTTCTTTCTGCCTCCGGTTTCCACGACTCCCCTCGTGAGTTCTGGGACTGCACGTGAGGGTGTGGTTGTGGTTAGGGAGATATGGTTGCTGGAGTCGGTGAGTGTCTCCAGCACAGCCCTGAGGGTTATAACGCAGTGACACAGAGGAGCGCAGGTGAACCCCAGGACCCCAGTGAGGTCTGGAGGAGGCTTCGAGTCAGCGTCCTGGTTTGGTTGCCCTGCAGTCAGAGAGGATGTCCCCAGGGGTCGGGGGACCAGAGCGCAGATCAGAGGGGCCGCCCTGCCCCCCAGAGGGGCCTCCCCTCAGGACATGGCACAAACCTGTAGTCACCCCTGAGGAAAGTCTCTACTGAATGGTCTCCTTTTACTATGGCTGGATCTTTAAAATGTAATTCTCAACCGACATGGTTAATAATTTGATCCAGATGTTAAAGGAACATCAGAGGAATTCTTGGAATCACTTAGAAATTCTTTCTATTATGTAAATACACTTTTTTTAACTTGCTGTTTTTGAAAAAACTAGAGACTCACAGGAAATTGCAAAATTAGCCCCGGACCCCCTGCCCGTGTTGACATCGTCTACGACCGCAGGATGGTCTCAAAAGCAGGGCACTGACGTCAGCCGCGTTCAGCACTGCGGCCGCTACACTCTTGTGCACGCGGGCGTGTGTGTCTAGCTCTCCATGGTCTTGCCCCCGGGGTAGACCCCCTGTAACCACAGTCAGATCCAGCCCTTCACCCCCCAGGAGCACCTGCGAGCAGCCTGCATGTGCAGTTTGTCGACCAGCCAGCTGTCACCTGAACACTGGCAGAGACGATGGCCATGAGCTCTGCTCTGTTGACAGTTCATGTCCACCTTGCCCTGTGGGCTGGGCCCCCTGGGTTCCCACGTTGACACGAAGCCTTCTCTCTCCCGGCAGGCGGACAGCCTACGCCTACAACCCCGAGCCCCAGATGTACGCCCCCAGCAGCGCCGCGTCCTACTTCGAAGCCCCGGGCGGCGCCCAGGTGACCGTGGCAGGCTCCTCCCCGCCCGGGGTCCCCTCCCACAGCATGGTGGGCATCACCGTGGATGTCGGGGGGAGCCCCATCGTCTCCAGCGCAGGAGCCTACCTCATCCACGGGGGGCATGGACAGCACCAGGCACTCCCTGGCCCACACGTCCCGGTCGTCGCCGGCTACGGTATGTATGGCCGAGGCTGCCGGGGGCGGCAGGTTAGGCCCTGAATAGACTCCCAGCAGCAGCAGGGACGGTGAGTAGAAGGCGGCCTGGAGCGTGGGTCTCGGAGCCCCGCCAGCCTCAGACGGGCCGGCTCACCGACCCCTTTGACCCTCAGTCCCTCCCTCGGTCAAGACAGAAGGCAGATGGCCACGGTGGGCGGTTGTGAGTGAGGCATGTGGGATGGCGTCCCCCACGGGTGTCCCATTGTGACCCTCACCAGCCTCTCAGAGATCAGTCCCTCCGCAGGAAAGCTGGGCTGAACGAAGCCAGGGCCCTACCCAATTGTTACCCCGAAACAGGGGCTCACTTGCTTTACGTCGTATCTGCTTTTAAAACTCCGTTTTCCATATTCACTGTTACTGTTTAAACTAGCGCAGAGTAAAACGGGCGTTTTTGGCATACAGACCTGTGAATTTCGACGCACATATGGACTCGTGTGCCTGTCCCCACCCCAGGACACAGAGTGGTTGCGTCACCCAGAAGCTCCCTCGGGTACTTCTTGTCGGTCACGACCCCCTCTCGCCCACACCCCCTGGCAACCGCTTGTCTGTTCTCTGTCACTGCAGTTTTGTTTCTTGGGGAATGTCATGTAAAGGGAGCCTTTGTGACCGGCTTCTGTCGCTCTGTGTGGGGCCCCAGAGATCCCGCCCAGCTGTCCCTGAGTCAGTGGGTCCTTCTTGCTCCTGAGAGGTGCCCCGTTCCACCAGAGCTCGTTTATCCAAGGGCCGCTTGGGCCCTTCCCAGCTTTCAGTGACTGAACAAAGCAGCTCGAAGGACTCCCGCATGCAGACATAGCTTTTCCTTTCTTTGGGGTCAATACTGACCAGTGGGGTTGCTCCTGCGGTTAAGTGTACATTTACCTTTGTCCAAAACCGCCAGTGCTTTCTGGGCGGTGGTACTGTTTCGCGCTCCTCCAGCCACGTGTGAGGCCCCCTTGCTCTGCCTCGCCGCCGGCACTTGGTATTGTCAGCATCCCTCGTAGGCGCGTGGTGGTGTCTCCCTGTGGTTGTAATCTGCATTTTCAGGGGGGAGGGTATAGCTCAAGTGGTAGAGCGTATGCTCAGCACCCAAGGGGTCCCGGGTTCAATCCCCGGCACCTCCTCCAAGGGGAAACCAATGAAGAAACCTAATTACCTCCCCCTCAGCGAACAAACAATACAAGCAAAGCGTGTGCTTTCATTTGTGCCGCAGATCGGTCTCCTCCTTTAGGCAGTCCTGACATGAGGAATCGCAATTTGCATTTTCATAATCACCCGGGTGGCGAGCCTCCGTTCACGTTTTTTGCCTTTGTAGACAGTCCTTGGTGATGTGTCCATTGAAGTCGTTTATTTTTTTAGCTGGGTTGTTTGTTTCCTTACTGTTGTGTTTTGAGAAGTGTTTGTATATTCTGGATACAAGGCCCCTGCTGGATATGTGATTTGCAAATATTACCTTGCAGTCTTTGGAGTGTATTTTCTTTCTCTTAAAAGTGGCTTTTGACTCTTTGGCCATTGAATAAAGCTGTGCTTGTGTTCAAAAAAAAAAAGTGTCTTTTACAGAGAGAAAATTTTTTTCCAATGATTTTGATCAAATGCGATTTGTCAGTTTTTCTTTTTTGAAAAGATCATACTTTTGATGTTGTCCTAAGAACTCTTTGTGTATCCCCTGGTCATGAAGATTTTTCTCCTGTGTTTTCTTTGAAAAGTTTTATTGTTTTGCATTTTACACTGAGCTCTGCTTCATCCTGAGGTAACTTTTGTATAAGACTTAAAGTTTGTTGTGGCTTATGTTTACGCATATGAAACAACTGGTTGTTCCAGCATCATTTGTTAAAAAGACTGTACTTTCTCCATCGGATTGCTTTTGTGCCTTTGTCAAAAATCCATTGGCCTATTTGGGACCTTCTGTTCTGTTCTGTTCTATCGATCTGTGCGCCTGGCCCTTTGCTAATACCACACTGTCTTAATTACGGCAGCTTTAGAGTCAGCCTCAAAATTGGGTGGAGCAGTCCCTCTCACTTTATTCTTCTTCAGTGCTGTGTTGGCTGTTTACATAAATTTAGAATTTTCTATAAAAATTTTTAATCAGTTATATTTACCCAAAAAATTCCTAGTGAGATTTTTGATTAAACAACATTAAAGCTGTATATCAATTTGGGGAGAATTGACATCTTCACTATTTTGGGTCTTCCAATCCATGAACATGGTATGTTTTCTCCATTTATTTAGAGCATCTTTGATTTCTTTCAACAGCTTTTGGTATTTGTTAGCATGCAGATCCTGTGCCTATTTTGTTAGATTTACACCTAAGTATTTCATGTTTTTGGAGCTACTGTAAATGGTATTGATTTTCAATTTCAGCTTCCAAGTGCTCATTGCTAGTGTATGAAAATACAGTTGATTTCTGGCTCTTGACCTTGCCTCCTGCAACCTCGCTAAACTCACTTTTTAGCTCTAAGGGTTTTTTTGGTCTGCAAATCAGAACGATTTTATTTCTTCTTTTCCAATCTGGATGATTTTTATTTCTTCTTGCCTTATTATGCTGGTGAGAATGTCCAGTATGCTGTTTCATGGCAGTGGTGAAAGTGGACATCCTTGTCTTGCTCTCAGCCTTGGGGGAAAAGCTTCAGTCTTTCACCCTTAAGTGCAATGCTACCTGTAGGCTTTTCACAAATACCCTTTTTCAGGTTGGGGACGTTTCCTTCCATTCCTTAGTTTCTGAGAGTCTTTATCATAATTGGAAAATGAATTTGTCTCAAATGCCTTTTCAACATTATATGATCATGTGTTTTTTCCTCCTTGGACTATAGATATGATGGGCTAGATGGAGTAATTGTCAGTTGAGAAATAACTTCCTATTTCTGTGTGGGCTTAATCTGAAGCAGAAGGTGACATTCTAGCCTCATCCCTGCTCTTTTGGTCCTGATGTGTTTTGGGGTCACCCTGACATCAGAGGCTCCTGGACTCTTGCTGTCCTCTCTCTCTCTAAGTCCAGAGTGCTTCCCAGGACCCGGCTCTGAGGACAGGCGTAGAGAGAAGTCACTTGCTCCCTAGAGCCGTGACTGTGGGGCAGTGCCTGCACTCCATCCCGGGGGCACCAGCCTCACTCAGTGCCCCCAGGGCCTCAGCCCACCCTCAGAGAATTGGCTGGGGGACCTGAGTTTAGAACCACTGTCGATCAGAAGTGTTCCTCACAGACAGCATTAACTTTCACAAGTGTGGTGGCTCCGCGTCAGCAAACTGCGTCAGCTTATACTAGTGAGTAACCTGGGGTCGCAGGTCACAGACCTACTGCCGTCACAGGTCACAGTGTCCACACCATCTCGCGGCAAACAAGTATGCAGCTCCAACCCCGGGCCGCCCGGTTCCTGTGATCTGTCATCTGGGTTGCATTAGAAGAATCAAGTTTTAGAATCGATTGGAAATCTGTGACCAGGCTGTGTTTTCTCAAACACACACCCCTCACACCCTGTGAAGGTCCTGGAGGGGGACCACCTCGGATGAGCACCTGCCCCCGGACTCCACCTGCTCCGTTGTGATGTTTTGGCTTTTGGTGTGGGGCCACCTCACAAGGATCCACGGAGATCCCAGGCACTTTCCAGGAGCCAAAACGGGGCAGCCCTGAGGTTGCAACAGCAATAAATGATGACTCCTGGAGTCGGCGTTCCATGGCTACCAATTTTCTTATGTCAGAGTTGTTCTGAGGGATTTCAAGTTAATTCCGAAAATGGAGCACAAAGACCAGAGCAAATCGGCACCAGCAGCCCCACTGAGTTTTGGTGACACATTTTCTTGAGTCTTATTTCTGGTTAAAGTTTCACTGGTGTCTTAAATCTTAGAATTGAATTGCCCAATTGCTAAGTTTTGGATAACTTTCCCTGTTGTGCTTTTTTCTGTTTTCTGATCACGTGGAGCAGAGATGCCCAGCTGAGAGGTCCGCCCTTTGGGTCGTGTCAGGGGGAGGCTGGGGGGCCCCTGGGGCTTCGAGAAGAGCCCCCCCACCCCATGCAAACAGGCAGCCCCCATGGGCCACATAATGGGGGCTGATGAAGGCAAATCACCTATCCAGCTTTTAGGATGAGAGGACGTGCCGTCAGGGTCTGAGCAGGGCTCCCGGACCTGGCCTGGTGAAGGGTGGCTGGCCTGTTGAACTTCACATTTCCTGGAGGTCGAGAAGCGCCAGCACACAGGCAGCCGTGGCCCTGGGTGCTCCGATCACACTGAGGTCAGGGTGTCTGCCCTGGGGACCCCACTCAGGTGGGCTGGACACCTGGTCTGTGAGCACCTGCTGCACTGAAGCTGGAAGGGCCAGCGCTTCACCTTGGAGGACGGCAGCAAATCAGTTCCGTCCTTTTATGGCCGTGGTCAGCGACGGGAAGAACTCCTGTAAGCTGCGTGGCATCTGATGTGATTTCCAGACACGCCTAAGACAGCACCAGCCGTTCCGTCCACCCCCACGTGGGGAAGCCCTCCAGAGTCCCAGCATCCCAGCCCCGTGGAACACTTCGAGTCTCCTTGGAAAATCCTGAGATCTCCACGTTAACAGCCACGATATTTGGGGCCCCGGAATGATAGATTCCATTTCTACAATATCCAAGCCACATCCCTGAGATATGCCACTAGAAATCAGAGACATTTCTTTACAGCGTCATCGGAAACTCGGCTCCTGCTTTCAGAACTCGAGTGAGCTTCCGGGCCTGACCACTAGCACACGGGGGTACAGGAGCCGAATCTTGCATCCGCTGTCCAGCTCCCTGTGAAGATGGCCACGCACCAAGTGAATGTGTCTGTAAGGGACCTGCTCCCGTCTGTGCCGAGTCAGGGCTGGCGGAGCCTCCACATCGTCCATGGCTCCCTGCGTGTAGCCTGGTTTCCCTCTCGTGTCCCTCTATCCTTGCAGCCACCCTCCCTGGCAGCCCTCTGGGCTGGTGCACCATCCACGCAGCACAACTCACTGTGGCTTGTCCACCGCCCCACAGCTCT